TCCCTTCTCGTTCCGCGTTACGCTAATCCGCGTTTCCGCGCTTCATGTAATGGCACCCTGATTTTGGAACGCAGCCTAGGTATACTGGTATACTATGGGCGTTTTCCAGCAAGGTACAAAGACGACACAGTGTATTAAGGCCAGTCTACATAGGACTCAACACGCCAGGGGCCCAATTCTTGAATTCATTCGCAAGAGAAACGTATGCGCAAATTCCATTCTTATGAGAAATCTACAAGTTGATTGGCTAAAAGCCATGCAATAGCCAATCAACTTGCAATTTTTCTGTAAGAGCAGAATGTGCGCATACGTTTCTCTTGCGAATGAATTCAAGAATCGAGCGCCTGGTAGTATGCGGCAGCGCACACTTCACGGCGTGCGGCTCATCGACGTGCGCCCGGCTAAAGGTTGGCGCTGATTGACCAGATTTTACTCAATAATAATTCCTTTATTAAGCGTTATAAAAAAAATGGTTCAGGACTTTTCGACTCAGTTTGACCCAATCTACCACCATCTTTCGTTTGGTCACTTACTTGTCGGAAACCCTGTATAATTATACCGGATGTCCCAAAAGTCCCGGAACGGTCAAATATCTCGAAAATAAAGCATTTTTGAGAAAAATATTTCAAATAAAAGTTGTAGGATTTTAAGTGGCACATTAAGTAGCAATGTTAATATGACTTTAAATAGCATTGTTAAAATTACATCAAAATCATTATGAAATTTTTAAATGGGGATCCCCATTTTTGATTGCATATTCTTGTAGCTTACCTTAAGAACTTTTCAAAATACTATAATAAAGTTCCTTTCCATTAAGTATTTTCCGAGTTATAAGGCTTCAAAGATACAGTACTGCCAGCATTAGTATTACGTAAAGTGATTTTTACGCGACCTTAACAATGCTATTTAAAGTCACACTATCATATTGCTACTTAATGAGCCACTTAAAACACGTTATATAAAATATGTCCATATATGTTTTCTTTCTTTTATACATACTCTTTGTATGTACGTACAGAAAAAAAAAATAATAAGAAAAATAATTGAAAAATAATTTTTAAAGAAAGTTTCGCATTGTTTTTTGGAAAAAGTGGTATATGAAGAAATATGAAGAGCGGAAAAAATTGCCCACATATATAATTGTATATAAATTTACATTTACACGTATAGCAATTTTTTCAGATTTCCTCAAATTTTTTCTATTTGGTTATATATGGACTTCTTCTCCAGGATAATAAAAAAATATGAAAAAAGAAGAATAATAAGAAGCATATAAATAGTGATAAATACATAATAAATAACATTATTGAAGATTAAGAATTTGTTATACGTTTAAATATGCTGAATGTGCATACATTAAAATAGTTAAGAAAAACATACCATCGTTTAAAGGTTTACTCGAACTATTCACTATATTCATGAAGTTAAGTCCATCTTCCGTATTAATATTCTCAAGCGTTGGTGCGGATATCATCTCTAATGAAGCGCTTTCCAGAGCATTGAATATTGGCGTCAATTGTGGAGTTTTATCCATTTGTATAGGTGGTGGACTAGGTGTTAATAAAGGACAATCAGATGCTTCTTCATCCTATTAAAAAAATAAATATATATATGCAAGAAAATTCTCGGAACAAACCTTTTATAGAATATGCTATTTGTTTTTCTCTGATATAGTTTTTATAAATCGCGAAACAATGTACTTTTTGTATCATGATGTCTTTATAAATGCAATATCTTTATTATTGCATTTTTCTAAATATTATGCATGTTAATTGATGCAAAATATTTATAATAACTGTATCAGATTAATAAAAAATTGATCAAACTTCTGTTAAGAAAAAGTTGTTTTTACATTCATAGAAAAATCTGTATTTTGTCTCTCTCTTCTACATGTATGTATATGATAGACTGTGATAATTCAGATGAATAAACATAGGGTACATAAAAATTGAATTATAATAATAAACATACCTGTTGATCTTGATTTATAAACATTTCTTGTGAATTCGAAGACGGTGAAAGTTCAGCTGATATAACTACTGACAAGAGATCTTCAGACTTCTGAATACTCATCTCTGTTACAAATATTACATTTGAATATCTATTCATATAATTTTTTCAAAGAAGGGCATGAATCTGTATACAATAATACACGCACAACATATACACTCACATACATACATATTGTACTTGCTCTCATGTATATTATGTATAACATTTTCATAATAATAATTAATATATATACAGACTGGACCACCGAAAACGAAACAGGCGTATTTTTTGGCAAAATTTTTAGAGTGAAATTAACCCCTCTTTTGGGGTTGAAGTTAAGTGAACAGAAATAGCCAATTAACATGTCCCCCTTGCAAATAAAATTGACTTGTTCGAGCGTTTTTCGAACAAATGAGGTTAAATGCTAAAAGCATGCCTGTTTCGTTTTCGGTGGGCCACCCTGTATATATATATTATTATAAAATATGTTTGGATAGTAATATTCTATGCAGATTATATGTACATTAATAGAAAATGTGGTAAATATTTAGATTAACGTACCCACCTCCAATGACTTTGACCTTGACATATGTTGTCAAGGTCACTGTCCTGAGTAACATCCAAGAGGTTTTAGCCGTCGCTCGTTGTTCGTTAAAAAGTTATTAACAAAAAAAGTTTGAGAAATATAACAGTTATTTTAAGTATTCAAATGTGGAAATAGTACATGTATAAACAAAGAAAAGTTATCTAAAGGAATAAATCGTTGATATATTGAAGAGTCTTTTTGTTAAAGCAGAAAATAGTTGCTTCGGTCCAAAACGAAATTTGTAATTGTTCTGTTCCACATGGGTTTTCGACTTTCATAATAAATATTGAGAAGTCTTACAGTAGGTCAACATACAAACTCACTATTCTTATATACACCTTGTTTGAAAATTACGTACATTTCATTTAAATTCTTTTGTTAATAACTTTTTAATAAATAACGAGCGACGGCTGAAACCTCTTGGATGTTATTCAGGACAGTGACCTTGACAACATATGTCAAGGTCAAAGTCATTGGAGGTGGGTACGTTAATCTAAATATTTACCGAAAATGTTTTGTGTGTGTGTGTGTGTGTGTTATTTTTTAATTTATTTTTATATTTCTGATTTTTTAACTTTTTTTTTGCTTTATATAAAAATAACAGTATTATTTACTTAAGGTAGTTGTCTCGCGACAGTACAATCCAAAATTTTATACTCTGAATCAACGTTAAAACATTCGACTACCTATAGTTACCAACTGAAAACTCTTGGACATTTCGCTGTTGCCAAGTCGTCACCACTCATCGTCTCCAGTCGCTCTGAACATTCTGTACGCTATTGCCAAGTCAATGCCCGCAACGTTCGTGAGCATCATCTGTCTTTGTTTAACTTTCGGTTCCGTTGAATAATCGTGAAAATCGAGGTCTTTTTATTATTGTATTTCTAAAACTAAACGGTCAATAATTTCAATTTTTTTACTAGTATTCCTAAAGTGTCCTTCTACTATATATTCTACTATATTTTTCATCACTTTCTTGTTCGTTCTAATTATTAAAATTCAAAATACGAGATTTTTGTATGCTTCATGTATGCGATACATGTAAAAAGTGCAATTTTTGATAACGATTATCTCGCGTTCAGGACGGTCAACTGCTTTTAAATTGTACAAACATGTAGATGCCACATTTATTAACGTATCGTTAAATTTATAATTTTTCTTGTTAATTGCGAATTGCGAAACAACTACCTTAACTCTTAATCTTACCTTAAATCTTAATTACTAATCAGGGTTAATAATATTGTGAATGTTGTATAATGAGACAAATCTTAATTCGCTGGAAAAACTTTAATAACTTTGATGTTCTTTCTGCTATATAGTCTTTTGCCATATAGTATTTTGTAATATTTTATCGTAACCATAAAACCGTAAACAAATCGATCAAAAATACATCTCATAAAATATTACGAATTAAATACATTTAAAATTTCTTCTCTTATTCGAATTAGCTTTATTTAACAAAATGTAGACGATAATAAGCAACATACAAATCTGCAATCGTAAGATTGACATTGAAAACCGAGATACATGAGCAAGCGATTTTAAGTCAAAAGTAAACAATTAAAAAATTAGACACGATAGTGTCTTGCACCAAGTCACACGCAGCAAAAAAAGTCACGCGCAACAATAGCAAGGCGGAGTGTGTATCTACACGCGAGCCGTCCAGTTGCGAATACCTCAATTTCGGATTCTCAGTAACCGATCGAATTCTTAATAGGCTTAATTGGGCTTAAATAGTTTGGGTCTCAATTATATCAAAAAAGTATTTTCGTTTAACGTGCCTTATAAACGGAGTTATTACAATGTAAACAGTCCAAAACAGAAAAATTTACGATTAAGAAATGTGAATTCCGTCCTCTTACTTAGTTGTCGGCGACAAAATGTTTCTCGTTTCTGTCGCATTGCATTGGCATCGCTGATAATAATAATTATATAACAAATAGGATAGTAAAGACCATTGCACATGTGAAAAATTTTGTCGTAATCATAAAGCCATAAGCAAATCGACCAAAATTTAGCATTCAATTTAACGTAATAAAAATGTTTCATTGTGATTGATCGGTTTGCTTACGATTTTACAGTTACGATTAAAATTTATTTATCTGCAATGGCCTTTGATGAGAAAATCAACATTAATTTATATATAATATATTATATATAACTTTTTCTCTCCCTTTTCCAAATTTATCTTTATAAAAAAAAACACAATTTTTGAATTATTCTTTTTTTGTATATACGGATAGAGATCATATAAGAGAAAGAAAACACATAAATAGATATATTTTATATATAATTATACAGGGTGCTAAATTTCAAATGTAACAGGCCGAATATCTCGATAACCAAATGAAATATCGAGGTCCGGTTTTTTTTAGGTTTTATTGTTACGAGGCGAACAAATTTTGATAAAAAGAATTTGATTTTGGATGGACGCGTCAAAAAAAAACCGGACCTCAATATTTCCTTTAGTTATTGAGATATTCGGCCTGTTACGTTTGAAATTTAGTACCCTGCATATAGACTTTTTTTCCTGGGAAGTAGAGGGAAAGTAAAAAAGTTCAAAAAGCGAGAAACAAAACAAGAAAGAGCGAGAAAAAAAGAAACCAAGAAAGAGAAAAAACGAGAGAGAGAATTGCCTCCTTGCGTTTCTGATTTTTTAAATCATTTTCAAGCTTTACAATTTTTGCACACATTCACACATTTCTTTCCTTAGAGAGTTCATTACTTTATATCGAGAGAATAAATTATATTTTGACTCACATTGCGTATTTTACTGAACATCTTTAGATATATATATTTGACTGATTACGATCTTACATTATGTAATCTTGCGCTTTTCTTTTTATTTATTGTTTATTTGATAAAATGGTCCAAAAATGAACCGGCTATTTGAATCATTCTTAATATGTACATATACTTAAGTTTAATATATCAAATTTTTTGCGCTTATTTCTCTCTCCCTCTCCCTTTCGCTCTCTCTCTCTCTCTCTCTCTCTCTCTCTCTCTCTCTCTCTCTCTCTCTCTCTCTCTCTCTCTCTCTCTCCTTCCCCCCCTCTCCCCTCCTCCCCTCCGCAACCCCCGACCACCCATTTGGCCCCGCTCGGAGATCAAATGGCTTCACCGATTCGCGTTATCCCCCTCTCTTTCTCTCTCTCCTTCCCCCCCTCTCCCCTCGTTTCGGTTCTTATTTGTCTCTTATTCAATCTTTTTGCTTCTTTTTGCTTCTTACATATGTATATCTCTTTACTTTAAAATATAAAATTAAAATACAAATTAAAATATGAAAAAATAATTCACACAGTAGTGACAATTTTTTGCATTAAATTTTATTACTTTTAATTACTTTAATCAAATCATATTTATTGATACATATTACGACTTGAAAAGTTTTTCATTAAAGAATATATATATCTTTTGTTAATTTTATAATTATATTAAAATGCATATACACAAATACACAATCGTATTGCACTTTATTTAGTAAAACGAAATTTCGATATTAAAGCATAATAATGCAAAAATCAATTAAATTTTATGCTATGCATAATTTTTATTCTCAATTGACGCAATTTTGTGATACCATTACTTTTGTAGAAAAAGCAATAAAGATTTAACCAATAAGATATACATTAAAGTATATACATTATAATATTTTTCTTGTACAACATTTTTTTGAATGGCTAAATATATGTATATTAAATAAAATATTTTTTGTACAACAATGTTTTAAGCGGACGCGTGAACTTGACGCGTGCCTTTTTATCTTTTTTTGAAAAGGTAAATTTTTATTTATATTATCTCTCTCTTTCTCTTTTCTTAACTACTTACTTTTGGTTTGCAATTATCTTTTGTTTAAAATATATTTTCATGATTTCGTAATCTTGGATGGAGCTTTTTGTAATCTGAGAAACTGCTTAGCAATATTATAATTGTATATATATTAATAAAACAATATCAATAAAACAGAATACGTAACGTAGCGAAAAGAATTATGAAACTTAAAACAGCCTAGGTAAATTAAAAAGAAATAATTTTCTGGTCTTTAAAAATAAAATGCTGAAAAATAAAACTTAGGAACATATGACTATAGCTGCGGTCGGGAAGACACTAGAGATGCTTCGAAGCATTGCATTAACCAATCAGAATAAAGAAATCTTTACTCTTTTTGTCCTGATTGGTCAATCAAACACTTCGAAGTATTTTTAGCGTCTTCCTGACCGCAGCCTATAGCTATAAAAAACTCGTTTAATAAATCGAATTCAAACATATGTGATTAAAAGATGTAATTTGGTTTTATTACATTAATTAATCTATTCACATATATTTTATTTTTTAAATATTTTTAAACATTAATATTTTCTATCAAATACTCACACGAACTATATTAAAATAAATTAAAAAGGTTAAAACTATAAAGATTGTTTATTAAACTTTTCTTAATTTAAAAATTATTAATATTTATAAATTAATAATTAATTATATCTATTAATTATTAATTGTAAAAAAAACCAAAATTTTTTAATCTTGAATATTTATTTTTAGAAGCTGAAGTTTAAAATATAATAAGAATATTTACATACCTCCTGCTTAAAATGTTGGATACAAAATGAAAATTTGTCTATCATATCCTATGGTGATTTTGAATCCCTTATTTCACAACTGATTTATGAAATTTCGTAAGTGTATTGTATCATATATTATATATAGTATCATAAAATATGATTAAACTACATAGATATTCAATTTTTATCAGACCCATTTTGTAACCATTATTTTATAAGCAGGGTTGTTATGAAACAAAGATTATAAGCAGTTTATCATAAAATAATAATAAATATGTGATGCAATATTCCCTATGATTGAGAAACATCAACTTATTATACAAACATTCACATATTCTATATGATTGAAAAGAATAGTATCATAAAATATGATTAAAATACATAGAAAGCCTATGTTGTGCAACTTCGTGATATAAATCAACGTAGAAATTCTATCCATTTTTATCACATCTAATCATTTTCTATCAAACATTTTAAGCAGGGCGGGCTAATGCTAACACATGATGTTCAGTTTTTTTTTTAATACAGATTAAGCTTCATAGATTTTATATATAAACATTTTTTTAAAGAAAATGAGATTCGTACCTATGTCTCAATAGTAATGACGACTATCGGCAAAATCGACTGAGTGAAGAAGCTTCGTCAAAAATATCGTAACCCCAAAACCAAGAGACACTTATTGTTAGATATCTTACTTAGATATCTCACTTATATTATTAGATACCTTAGTTACGAATATGCTCTTGTGTGTATGCCTGTAACACATTGACCACCCCGTTTTCCACAATCGGCCTTCGCAAGAGACACAGCAGTTATATTCGCATAAATGATTATTGATTAAGGCGACGAGGACAACAATGTGGATATCTCAAATGATGACCACCGCCATCGCCGTTATACTGCCTCTTATAACCGTAGGAGATAGTAGAACCGCGTACCTCACTATATTATATTTAGCGATGCAATATCGTTTTTCGTGTTCCTCCGCTGACTGGCCGGTCCATCCGTCCAGACGACTGACGCCTGACGCCTCATTCTCTGCGATTCTGCGCTTTAACAGCGATGCGGCACGCGCGTGCGATGTGTCACGCATCATTTACATCTAGCACAACGACAGCACCAACTCAGAGTACATACGGGGTGTTCCTAAACATGTGCAAAAAATTTTAGAGGATGATTGTTTGGATAATTTCTTGAAAAAAGTTCATGAATGTATACCAATGTTCCAAATGGCATAATTTTCAAGTTACAAGATATTTAAGGTTTAAAAAAAATAAGATTTCAAAACATATTTTGACAAAAACAAAATTAAACAAAATTATAGGAATTGTTGGAAATGATCACCTCCAGCTCCCCCCCCCCCCCTGATATGTACATATACATACATAATCCATTTTCCTTCTCATTGATTGGCGAATACATTCAAAAATACCAGGTATATTACGAATTATTTCGCAATTATGCAATTATCCTTAATCTTCAATAGGGTCATCAATCTTTCAATTAGGGTGATATAAATTAAGGATTTAAGATGATCCCAGAGAAAAAATCCAAGGGAGATTCAATTCTGGGATATTACAATACGGCAGTGAGACTGCTCTTTAACTCAATATTTTTAAAACTTTAACACCCTATATCTCGAAAACTGTGCCGTTTAGTCATTAGTGTAAATGAAATTTTCTTCAAGAAATTACCCAAGAAATCACCTCCCGATATTTTTCGCATATGCTTTTAGGAACACTTTGTATAACAAAAATTTTATTAAAAATCTTTAATGAAAAAATATTATTAAAAATATTCAAACAAATATATGTATACCAGTATAAATCGATAAGCAAAGATGTTCATACGATATAATATTTAAAATGTAATCATAATATATTTACAATGTGCAAAAAATTATTTATACTATACTTTTACCAGAAAAATGTTCGAGAGGATCGCAAACCTGCGGCGGCCGCACGGAACAAAGTCTAGACGAGCACGACAGTTAATAACGAGCACGAGCAGTAACGTTATACAGTTATCTTTTTTTGGTTTTTATGTTTTTAATATTAACATTCACAAATGTATACAATTATCAACAATAAGTTGTGATTTCGAATCTCTCACGAAAGACTAAATACGACGCAAGCGGCGCGAGCGACAAAGTTCGAAAAGGCAATATTAATCGAAGCAGTTTAACTGAAGCGGTTTTCTATGCGGTTTTACCATAGACATAGAAATATAGGGACCGAGCATATCATTGCGGTAGGGAAGCCACTGCGGGATGGTGCGACGAGGTAAATTGTGCCTAAATTTGATTGGCTGTTATATTGCGTAAGTTCACGTCAATGATATTCGTGCCGTTGGCTTCTGTCAGACATATAATTGTCACACATATTTTGACAGTATTTGTCTATATGTTAAAGAAAGTCAGAAATAAAAATGTCAAAATATGTGTGATAATTATATGTTTGATAGCCGCCAACGACACGAATATCTGACGTGAACTTGCGCAATATAACAGCCAATCAAATTTAGGCACAGTTTACCTTGTCGCACCGTCCCGCAGTGGCTTCACTCCTCTCGCCTAAACCACGAGTCTCAGTCTCTATATTTTCTGTCTATGGGTTTTACTAACGAGCGTGAACTACGAAAGTAAATCGGTGCAAAAGAAAATTTTTTTATCTTAATTTGTTAAAAACATCAAATAGTTACCCAACATCCTATATAATTTATTAATAATAAGTATAAATAATAACAAATTGTAAATATCAGAACCGAGCATCGCTAAAGAGAATGGAGAAAAACGGATAAATAAACTAATTTATTAAAAACAAAAGATTACACATTTTTTAGCATGCATTTCTCAAGTATATAAATTTACGAAGTACGAAAAAGTTACTAAAATCGTACCCTTAAAATATTTTATGTCATATTTCTCTCTCTCTCTCTCTTTCTCTCTCTCTCTCTCTCTCTTCCCATCTCTCTCGCTCTCTCTCCCACTGAGAGCCGGCTGGGAGGATGCTAAATAGCAACTACAGAAGGAAGCGGAAATAATATTGTATACAAATACGCAAAGTTTGATGGCGCACAGAGACGAGATACAGCATCAGATTATGAAGAAAATAAATCCGGCATTCATAGCGTTATCAGAGACTAGATTGACTGCTGAAATTGAAGACAGTGAAGTGAACGTATCAGGTTATAGTATAATTAAATGTGATGCTGAAAATAGAAATACAGGAGGGTTTGTTTTATATGTAGAAGATGATGTTAAATATGAGATAGTATCAGTGAAAAAATTAGAATCGAATTGTTGGTGTGCTGTGATTGAGATGAAAGAAAAATTATATAGGGGAATAATAATGGTAATATACCATTCACCGAGTGCATTGCATGGTGATTTCGTGAGATTTCTGGAGGATATAATAGAAGAGTTAATAATACGGGTATATAGTAATAGGAGACTTATTTAATATAGATATTATGTTAGGCCGGTATTCATAGTCAGTTCTTATATTTAAGACCGTCTTAAGCACAATCTTAAGATGTCCTAAACCAATCACAGAGCCGTATTAGCATCTTAAGACATTACTTAAGACGGTCTTGAAATAAGAACTGACTATGAATACCGGTCTTAGATTCGTTTTACAAGGAAGCTGCAAACGACAATGTTGAGCTTAGGCATGAAACAATATGTAAATAAACCAACGAGAATTACGAAAGATAGTAAGACAATTATAGATTTAATTTTGGTAATTATTTACATTAACGGACACCTCGCCAATGACCTTGACTTTGACATATGTTGTCAAGGACATGACTCTGAGTAACTTTTTCTTATAACTTATCGGCGGTCTCTTATAATTTCTGAGATATTTAAAGTTAAAGTTTGATTCGAAACGAAAATTTGGTTTGGATTATACAACGTAACACAAGTAGCAAATTACTCACACCAAATTTGGTAATTATTTATATTAAAAATTTGGTTTGGGTTAGGTTATATCTTCCGGAAGTGGAGTCCCCCCGTAGGAGGGGCGGAACCCACTGTGTCCACATATACATTTTCCCATCCACACATCAATTGTGGAATGGATCTCGCTTCGCGTTATAAAGTATATGCGTAGACACAGTGGGTTCCGCCCCCCCCTACGGGGGGGTTCCACTTCCGAAAGATATAACCTAACCCAAACCTATTTCTGATTCAAAACTAAAATTTATGCTTCTGCTTATGCTTATATTAATGTTTCATAACTTTTATTTGTAGAACAATTTTTTAATAAACAATGAGCGCCAACAAAAATCTTTTATGTTACTCAGAGTGATAACCTTGACAACATATGTCAAGGTCAAGGTCGAAGCTGCCTGCCCTATATTTTGCATATAAGCAATATACCAATTACTTCCTTTAGCACTGACACAAAGTAGCAAATTTCTCAAACATTTTTTGTTTATAATTTTTTAATAAACAGTGACCGCCGATTAAGTTATAAAGAAAAGTTACTCAGGGTCATGTCCTTGACAACATATGTCAAGATCAAGGTCATCGGCGAGGTGTCCGTTAATGTAAATAATTACCTTAATTTTCGCTAATAATAAAATAAAAGTGCAGGTAATGCATGAACCTAAAATAACCCATACAGCACTGAGGCTTGCAGCAACATTGCTGCAACATTGCAATATTGCATATTGCAGTGTAATGTTGCAGAAATATTGCAAAGACATTATTTTACAATATAACTTTAGCAATGTTACAGCAACATTCCGTGAATATTACAAAAAAAGTATTCGATAATCGCTAGTTCATTCGTTTACCGCTATGCGGCCCATGTTGCGCTATCTATTCCGCATTTAATTTTTAGTCACGATGATTGTATAAAGTTTACAAAGAGCGGCTAGTAAGATTAAAGATATAATAAATATTTTTATTAGTTTAAGTTGTGTATGATATGACCCCAACACAAGGGACTCAGACATTGGACTAAAAATTCTTTTAATAGTTTCCATTCTTATATCAAATAAAAAATTTGATAATAATTTTCTAATATACAAGATACTTCAAACTTTAATAAATAAATTTTAAGATTATATAAAGACAAGAGAGATGTGAAAAAACTCGTATGCGTAAATCCAGCACGATCTTTTTGCATCCGGATATCTGAATATTTCGAGTACAAAGAGATTGTAAATTTACACAATTGCAAATTCAATTTTCTCTTATTTCTCTTAGATATTCTCTGTCACTGAAGGAAGTCGAATGTGCACCGAAAAATTTACATTTTGTAATTTTGTTATTATAATGCATAAAATCTATATACACACTAGATCCTGACTCTTATAGGCCTAATTTCTTATTATTTTTTTCATATGTAAGAATATTATTGTCGATAAATATACATAAAGTATTATTGCATATATATTATATTGCTATGTTGCTGCAATATTATATTGCAATATTTCTGTAGGCGGACATTTTATTGTTGCTGCAATATCATAACAATACTGCAACAATATTTTGCAATGTTTTTGCAATGTTGCAATCTTGCAAAAAAATGTTGCTGCAATGTTGTTACAATGATGTTGCAATCTTGCAGAAAAATGTTGCTGCAATGTTGTTACAATCTTGTGGTGCTGTATGGGAATGGACCATGCATGGCTAAAAGTTAAACTGAATGCGAATAACATTGATAATAAATACAGAGAACTTAGTGTTAGGAATTATAGAGAGTTTAATGTATTATAGATAAATTTATTAAACTAGTGGAAAATAAATTAAAGAAGAGCCAAGATATGGATGTTAATGTAAGAGCGAAGAAATTTGTTGATAGTATAGTAAATGCGTTAGACCCTACAGCACCTAGGGAAAATTTTAGAATTCCAAGAATATGCGAAGGGAAAAAGTGGTTTTCGGATGAAATAAGAGAAGCAGTGGCTAAAAGAGATGAGGTACATAGGAAGGCATTGTATGCTGACACGGAACAAAATTGGTTGCAATTTAAAATTGAAAGAAATGTAGTAGTTAAGTTAATTAGGACAAAGAAGAAAGAATATTATG